GGTGGACCTGAGATTAAACGAGAGAGGAAGGAAGTTGAAGATGAAGAGGAGGAAATTCCATCTGAGAACAGATGATGTGCAGTGAAAAACAAAATGGAGAGTTGTAGAGACAGAGATGAAAAGACGAGGTAAAGGAAGCTGCACACTGCGGTCACAGATCAACATGTCCTCCCAACAAAAGGATGTGTTTCCGTAACATGACCTGCACATTTCCCACGATAATAAAAACTATTTTTCACTTGTTATTATGAAAGTTACAGTAATTCTTAATTAGGATAAGTACATGTCCAATTTCAAAAATCAACTAGTGGTAGAAAGTTTTAATTTTTAGTAAAACTTTCCGTGCTGTGTTCAGTTGCTGTCGGGACAGTTTGGGATTCACGACTCCCATGTGGGAGATTAAAAAAACGGTGAATTTGCATATTAATTTACTGAACAATTAAAAGTCTGCAGCTTATGAAGTTGAAGATTATATTTGTAGCTCAAGACAGAACTGGAGACAAAAAATGTGTCTCTCATACTATGAATAATAGGCAGTTCAGTGATGATGCATTATTGTTGGACTCTTTTGACTCCTGAACGTGACCGTACTCTAACACGGTGTAGGTTTTGAGAAAATGTTCTTGTCAAGATCAATCACTGAATTTTTTGAAAGTTTTTTTTAATCCTTGTTCTACATTAAGGATGCAAATTTCAATCTTTTTTTTCCTAAATTTGTTATGTTATTGTTTTTCAATTAGACCTTGACACAGTGCTTGCAATTAATCTCATGACTCATGGCTGGAAATAATAATCATCATCATCAAAAGCCTGTTGTGTAGCCTCTGAAATGTCCTTTGCTGTTAAATTCCCAGAAGAAAAGGGGCAAAGTTAAATAAATGTTATAAATATAACTAATGAAATGACTGAATATATTTTTTCTGTCTTTCTTCCTTTAAATCCTGAAAGCCTTGAAACAAGAGGAACCCTGCTACAGTCCAGTCACACCATTTCACTCTCCCTGTGCTGTGTTCTTAGCTCACAGCACCCCTTGTGGCCAACTCCATACTTCAGTCATGCTGCCCTGCTTTACCAGCAGGAATCCCCTAAGAAAAAGCATCCCCTTCTCCACCTTAAATTCCACCCAAAGAAAGCCACACCCCTCAACCAGGCAACCCCATCAGATAAGAACACACTCTGAGGCGCAGCAGAGGTGATTTTTACAGTAAAGATTCAGCACAGAATTGCATAACTGTCTCTACAGCAGGTGGGATGATAACAGAAGAGAGGAGAGAAAAGGAAAAAAAAACAAAAAAAAAAACACGACCATCAGGCTCTTTGTGCATTTTTCATTGCACTAATGTCTGGTGAGTTGGGCTACAGTGAAAATCAACTATTTCTCCGTTTTCTAGGGATGCCATGGCAGCCCCTCAAGGACCCCTGGAGCTTCCAGGAACAGAACCCTGCTCAGGAGCCAAGTCACTGCAGTAAAATGTTGGACTGAAAAGAGGCTTTTCCAGCCAATTTGAGTCTTTTTTTTTTTTTTTAAGTTTCCAAATGATGTTTCTGCTCTATTACAGAGTGGTGTGATTGGAAATGTGACAGAGAAGGGAGGAAAGATGGGGAAGAGAGAGGGGGTTGAGTTTGGAGGAGGAGGAGGAGGAGGGGGTGGGGGCGGGGTAGGACATATCAGATTCATACCCCACACTCCGCCCCACACCCACACGCACTCACGTATCGCTTTTTTAGTTCATAACTGCCAATGGTATTAATAATTAATGAGGACAATTCTCTGGCGTCTGGATGAGTCATACTTTCTGCTACTCGCTTTCCCAAAAGCCCCAAAGGTTGGATTAACACAGAAATGGGAAATCTGAATTTTTAACCCTAAAATGAAGCAGACATGAATGTTTGATGGGTGCCTAAAAACAGAGGGGAGTCATGATACCTGTGAGACGGCAAGGTCAACGCCGAAAGAGCTTCAGAAAACTTGAACAGAAAGAGGAAATGGGGGATGTTAGGACATGGATTCAACAGGAACAGAGGTGAAAAATAACATGCTAAGGAATGCGGGATGAGGGTACACAGAAACAGAAACACAGGCAAATTTTAGTGACATTACATCTTTAAAATCTGACTTTCTGACAGTTTTCGAGCATCACAAGGAGATCTGACCCACAATACAACACAAACCCCTGGTGAAATCATCTTTTCAAGCGTCAAATGTTTAAAAGAAAATGCTTGAATTAAGACTGAAACTCAAAAACAAAGTACAACCAGTGCTGGCTGAGGACACATCAATTCTTAAGATGGGAAAAGTGGAAAAAGCACAAGTAGTTTTGTGGCCTCAAGTGTAACAAGCAGCACTTTCCGTTGCTTCCAGAGCCAGTTTCCTCAAAACTAAACAGACTAAGCAAACATATATTACGCTTGAAGGGCAGCCAGTTATTTTTTTTTGTACATGAACAAATTTCTGTACAGCAGTCTGTCACTTGAGCTGTAGAGCTGCAGTCTGTCCAACACTGACGCTGCCAGACAATCCAACTTGTTCTGTGAGGAAATTAAGAGGAGAGTTGGAAGCAAAGCTAAGAGGGTGTCAACGGAAAGAAATAGGGGGGACACAGTGCAAATAGGTGCTGATTTTAATACCTTGATTTCAACATGATTATACAAGAGAAAATTAACCAATATACAGGAGATTTATGACCGATAGAAAATTGTATTTATTATACTTTCCAAGATACATTCTATTCATTTGTAATGTCAATAAACACTCATAATTTTAACTTAACAATACTTTTTAAATAAGGACCGGATAGAGTTAAGTTGATAAAAGAATTTCGAAATAGAACCTCTCTTGACAATATAACCTCAAACTAAATAAATTAAACAAAATTATTCGAAGCCATCATGACTGAGCATTTTTTTTTACTAATATTGCACACGGTGTTTTTATGATATGATTCTTTCCCAAATCTAACAATTTAGAGCCTCGATTTTTCCAGCCGTCCAACCGTTTCCACTCCGAATGTCTCCATTCCCATCCCAGCAAATCCCAGAACCATATCAAGTTTAATGCACATTTATTTTGGTTGCATAATGTTAATAAGAAAAAACCTTTTACAAGATACTGTGGGAGATATAAGAATAAGGAAACTGCTTGAAACTTCACAGACTCTTTTATCAGGCCTCGGCTTGTCGTGCGACACAATAAAAAGGAAACATCACAGATCACATTTCACAACCCTCGTCCAAGCGGGTCGAGTTCTTCAGCGAACTGAGAGGAACAGAAAAACCCTCGAATCGACTCCACAGTCACTTCCTGGTGGCCTGAATTAGCTCTGATGCATCGTTCTATCAAGTCCTTTCCGCTCTTTGAGTATTATTCTTTTTTTAAATAATACCAATAACTCTTTAAATAATCCTGCATAGAAAAATAAATTAACTATGTTGTTAAATTTTTTTCTTTACTACGAATTGAGTGCTGACAAGGGGAGGTGGATCACCGATTGAATTATATTAGCGGTTTGTTTGACAATTCGGGCTTGTAGTCTCTTGATGATGATGCTCCGTCGTACAGTATATGTGTGTGTGTGTGTGTGTGTGTGTGTGTGTGTATGTGTGTGTGTGTGTGTGTGTGTAGATGTCTGTCTTTCCTTGTAATTTACAAACCAGTCCCACAGATACAAATAATGTAAGACTTACAAAATAAATTCCAGGTTACGCTTACATGGCAAGCAGCTTGTTGTAATTTTTTTTTTTTTTTTTTTTTTTTTTATCCTTCGGTTTTTGTTTTTTTTGTTTTTGTTTTTTTTTTTTTCATTTTTCAGAAACAACGTCCTCTGACAGTGTATGTGCCGTTTAGATTTCACCCAAAACATACAGTTTACTGTAAGTAGCAATTTTGAAGAGAAACACAACTCCATTCAGAAGACACTATATTTAACATGGCTCTTTACACAAAGAAAACAAGTCATGAAATCATTCCCCAAAAGAGTTTCAGCAGTGCCTTCCCTATTCCCACGAACGGAAAAAGCAGGAGCCGTTTAGCCTTCAGGCAAAGAGCAGGTGTACTGCTACTGGTGTGTAATCCAGACAAGATGGCAGAGAGTCCGCAAACCGACTCCAGAGAGCATCCCCAAGAACAAACAGATATCCGCGCAAATTTAAAAAAAAAAAAAAAAAAAAAAAAAAAAAAAGAAGAAGAAGCAAAGTAGCATCCGTTGAGTCACTGATTCGGTTAATCTCATCCCAGAAGTAGTGATTTTGGATCCTTTCCAGAGCAAAAGAACAACAACCAATGCTGCCTCCTTTTTTTTTTCTTTTTTCTCTCTTTTTTTTTTTCTTGTTAAACGAGGGTTGAAGACGGCGAGGTATATTCTCAAGCACTGTTTTCAAGACCCTTTGGTTGGAAAAACAAAAAGGAGGAGAAAAAGAACAAGAACAAAAAAAAAAAAAAAAAAAAAAAAAAAAAGTAGGTAAGTACCCCTTTCAATAGCAGCAAAAAATACTATGACTGTCTGGTTGCTTTTTTTTATGGTGTCCTGTTGTATGTATGTGGGATTCATACATGTAGTGGCATGGGTAATCCAAAAGGTCTTTTACTGTGGAATACATCCACGCTGATTCTAGTAATAGCTTTGTAGTGTGGAGCCATTTTGTCCATCTCTGCATTGGTCATTAAGGATTTCCAGAAGGCACTTTTTTTTGCTGTGTGTGTGTGTGTGTGTAGGAGTGTGTGTGTGTGCAGAGAGAGCGAGAGAGAGAGAGAGAGAGAGAGAGAGAGAGAGAGAGAGAGAGAGAGAGATGAAGACAGAAAGCAAGGAATCTGAGGAGGAGTTGAAAGATGTGTGTGTGTGTGTGTGTGTGCGTGTGTGTGTGTGTGTGTGCGCGCACGGCTAGAGGAGGGGGAGAAAGTACCAGAGAAAGGCAGGTGTGTTTGGCTGTCTGTCTGCCTGTATGTGTGTCTGACTTCCTTGTGTATGTGTAATCAATGCACTAAATCAAACACACAACCATCCCTACATTTTACTCAGTGCAGTCTGCTCCTCGAGCACCTGCAGGTAATCAGGCGTTCCTTGGAGCTTGGCTTTCAGCTCGTAATACTCACTTTTTCTCTGCTCCACCACGATCTTACTGTGGTTCCCGCCTATCAGCGACGACTTCTTCATCTTTTTATCCAGCGTTTTCTCCGGGTAGCGGATCTCGTACCCGCCCATCCCTATACTGTTGAAATCTCTTTTGCTGTCCAGGAAGTTCTGAATGAACATGCTGGGCTCTCGGTTGGGGAGGAACTCCTCGAGTTCGTCGATGGTGCTGAGGCGTTTGTTGCGCTCCAGGGTGGAGAGCGAGTCCTTGTCCTTGTCTGCGCTGTTCCGGAAGATGATCTTCTGCCTCTGCGAGTCCGCGAACTTGAACCCGGCGTCCATGTCCGAGGAGCGTCCGATCCCGCAGGTGTGGCTTTTGCCGATGTGCTCGATGGTCTGGGGGATGAATGTCTCGCCTCCAAGGTCGTCTCCCGGGATGGAGCCTTTCTTGCCGGATTTATGGCTGTGTCGGCGGAGTTGCAACGACATGGAGCCGCATTCCTGATTCCCCAGCCCCTCCTGCCTACCCACTGGCTTTTTATTCCGCCTCAAGACAAAGACTAAAAGGCAGAAGGCCACAAACACAGTGAGGATGAGCACTACGAGGATGCTGAGGATCATAATTGAGAGAGGCACGGGCCCTCCCGGTGGTGCTTTACCAACCCCAGCGGGCGACACTGAGGTCAGGACAGGGGTGGCGCTAGTGAGAATAAACGGCGGCCTCGCAATAAGCTTAGGACACAGGATCTCATTTTTCAAGAGGCGCAGCTCAATGTTGGAGAACTGCACAGGGGAGGCACATTTCACCTCTTTGGCAGCCACTCCATCACTCAGCTTCTCCAGCCAGAGTTTGAGGGCGACCAGATCACAGGAACACTCCCATGGGTTCCCTTCCAGGTCTATCTGGGTCAGTGACCGCAGCTGGTCCAAGACACCGCTCACTGGCAGGGTCATGAAGTGATTGTTTTTCAGATTCAGTCTAGCTAAAGAGACACCCTCGAACACGTAGGCGGGGAGACTCCGCAGAACATTATTGTTGAGATACAGGAGTTGAAGGTTCGGCATGGAGTCAAATGTGCCCGCTAAGATTTCTTTTATGGCATTGTATTCCAAATATAGGTACTGGAGGTTCGTGAGGCCCAAAAACATCTCTGGGTGTAACTGTTCGAGCTGGTTTCCATTCAGATACAGTCTCCTCAGGTTAGTGAGGTTAGCAAACACACCTTTCTGGACTGTGACAATTTGATTGCTGCCGAGGTGTAGCAAATCTAAGCCCTCGAACCCTTGGAAGTCAGTCAGGCTTATGTCGCGGATGTAATTCCCACTCAGGTGAAGTTTCTTGGCGTTTGGAGGTTTTGGGATGAGATCAGCTAGACTTTTAATATTCCTCTCCTGACAGCTGACACTAATACCAAAGTCAGAGGGGTGGGCTTTACAACTGCAGGGCTGTGGACACAACAACGGAGGGGTCCGTGTCTGAAAGGAAACAATCTGACTATTTCTTCCAAAAGGGGGCAAACCAGCCACGATACCGTTACCGTAAATCTTGGATGAGTCAGTGGTTTTTGGCGATTTTGTGGCTATGGGAGCCACGGTGGTCGGGGACACTTTGGAGGGCGACTGCCCATTATCTGGCAGTGCGGGTGGCATCCTTACATCAAAGTCACTCCCTGTTCCCATGGGGCAAAGCTCCTGTTTGTTGGTTTCTTTCAGGAGCCTCCCGTACAAGTCGCTTGGTGTTTCGCATATGGCCTCGCCGATAAAAATATTATAGGGCATGTTTTCAAGCCACGCCTTGAGAGGTGCTAAATCACAGGTACAATTCCAGGGGTTGTCGTCCAGCTGCAGCTCTACAATGCGCCCTATATGCTCCAGAACCCCCAAGTAAGGAAGCTTCTGGATCCTGTTCCCCCTTATATCCAGGTGTGTGAGTGAGGCAAAGCGAAATATGTTGTCAGGTAGTGCCTGTATGAGATTATCGTTCAGGATCAGCACTTTTAGCTTGTGCAGTTTGTTAAATGCCCCCTTTTCAATATACTTTATCAAGTTGTAGTCAGCCTGAAGGTATTCCAAGTTCTCTATCCCTTGGAAAGTGTCTGCTCGCAGCACCTTTAACTCGTTATTGTTGAGGTGCAGCTGTTTCAACGCGCTCATCCCCATGAACGCTCCACCTTCGATGTTCTGCAGTTTATTGTTCCCCAGCTGCAGTGACACAGCGTGGGTGAAGTTCAGGAACGAGTTTGGGTAGAGTATGATTAAGAAGTTGTTCTGGAAGTTAAGGTGGTAGAGGGACGAGGCCGGCGGGATGAGCTGCGTGGGCCGGTAGACGGTGACCTTCTCGCAGTTGACGTACAGCACGTTTTCCACCGACATGCAGGAGCAGGCGCTGCAGGTCTCCGCCATCAAGTCCGAGGCAGACGGGTCTGCCATTGGGGGTCCGTCCGACATGGAGGGGGAGGAGAGGGAGGAAGAGAGGGAGCCGGAGATGGAGGAAGAAAAGGCTGCCAGCAGGAGTACGAGCAGCATCTCGCCGGTTAGAAATCCTCCCCCAGAAAACCATTTAGTAACCTTTGGAGAAAAAAAAAAAAAAAAGACAGGTGCATGCACAAGCATTCAGACACACACACACACACACACAAACACAAACGCACACACACACACACACACATAGTCACACGTGTGTGCAAACAAGCCCCACACACACACACACACACACACACACACACACACACACACACACAGAAAGCAAACCATCAAAATGCATATTCAATATTGATTATAATGCAATTCCAATATTTAATCAATTTTAGCACTTTTTTTAATTTAAAAAATACATTAGCTGTATTATTCATTACCATTTACTGTATAAAACATCATATGCAAATTTAGATGCTAATGAAGCCCATTTCTAATTATTGCACTTTTCATTAAGACTCATTGCAGTGGGTGGCTTTGACAGAGTTTCACCCTAATCACAGGACAAGACACATGTTTGATGCAGATTATTCAGGACTGCAGGAAAAGAAAAGTACCATATGCTCTGGAAATTACTCACAGCCATGAACGGCTGCATCTCTGCATCTTATTCTGACATCCAAAACCGTGAGGCATCATCTTGGAAAAAATGTCTAAGACAGCAGCACGACTGTATTCTCCCCCTCTCAGCATATTCAACATAATCAAAGTCAAACGGCTGCAGCTCTCTTTTTTTCATGGGGGTCTCATTTGAAGCCAGCAGCAGCAGCAGCAGCAGCATCTCTGAGCAGAACATTTAGGTTATTTAGGAAAGCAAGTGTGAGAGCAAGAGGGGAGAGAATGAATTGGGATTGTGCCCATTCCTGACATGTTGAGAGGGTTTGAGCGGCACCCATTTCTCACAGAGGAGCGTTTTTTTTTTTTTTTAATCCCACATTTGGCACAACATAGAAAAATAAATAAAAATGTTCCTCAGTTTAAAAAAAAAAAAAAAAGAAAGAAAGAAAAAAAATCAGGTCATTTTAAAGGAAGGCGGATCACATCTAAATAAATGAGACTTACCCAAAGCTGAGGTGGTGATGAATGCGGCTCCCTCTGGAGACACGGGGCAGCATCGGTGAGACATGGATGGAGACTTGCGCAAACGGTCCTCCCCGCCGAAGTAGAGCGCAGACAGTTGTAGGGGCGCAACAAGGTTTCTCCAGCCCCTATATCCCCATGTAGGTCTACTGTGTGTCAACCCGAGCCAAGCAAAACTGGAAGGGGGGGTGGAGGTGGGGGTGAGGTTGGGGGATGCCGGTGGAGAGGGAGGGAGGGGGGAGGGGAGGGAGGGAGGGCGAGGGGGGGCGAGCGCGAGGCTCCGATTTCACCCGATGCGTCTCTTGCTGACAGGCTCCTCTTGCTTAGAAAAATCACCCCTCTGGTCGTTCGGTCCCCAAGGTGGTTGTACTACCTCCATGGGAGAGCGTTCATTTGGTTGCAGGAGCGATTGGGAGAGATTGGGAGAAAGGAGAGAGGAGGGGAGAGAGAGAGAGAGAGAGAGAGAGAGAGAGAGGAGAGACAGATAGAGAGAGTGAGAGAGAGAGAAAAGGGAGAGGCAGACAGCTTTTAGAGATCTTGGCGGCGCGTCCGGCGACTCCAAGGCGTGAAAAAAGGCGCAAGGCGGCCGGTGATGCGGTGAAATAAGTCCGTCATACTTGCGAGTTTTTTTTTTGTATTTAGGGGGGGAAATTGGAGGAGCAATAGGAGAGGAGGAAAAAATGGGGAAGAGAGGAGGAGAGGATGGCCAATAGTGTGCGTCTGGCTTCAGATCGGCTCAGCAACCTCCAGCGATCCAATGAATAAATACTGGTTTGTTTCGAGCGAAGTTGCGCACCGGGATAATGCTTCAGAGGGCAGAAGCAACCAAAACGCTCCCATCAGGTTGTGTGTGTCTGAATATTATTTTCCATCCAGTCAGCATAAATCCTATATGTTCTGACCCCGTGAACAAAAGACAGTTATTTTGTCTTAACAGAGCAGTTTATTCGCAGGTGGAGAAAGAAGAGATGCTTATTTCAGTCTCCATTCAGTTTAAAAAAGAAAAAAGGTTGGATGTAAAAGAAAAAAGAAGAAGAAGAATAAGAAGGGCGATATCGGAGCTTCTCTCCCGGGTGAAAAAAAAGCAGAAAAGCACAGAGAGAAACAAGAGAGACAAGTCAGGAGAACAGAAACCGGTGCGTAAAAATGAATAATGCAGTTATTCAGCCTTTAGTCCGCTGCGGTGCAAGTGAGGAGCTGGAAACTCCGCGCTTTCCCTCCCGCTCCCATCGGTCCAGAGGAAATGTCATCAAAAAATTAACTTGGGGAGGAAATGCAGAGACTTTAAAGCCAAAAAACAAAAAAGAAATAAAAGAAAGAAATTATCCAGCTTGAGGAAAACGGAGGGGTTGTTACAAGAGTGGAAAGCGAGCTTGTGTCCCCCCCCCCCCTCCAGTGTACGACAGAACAGTATCCGTGTCAGGCGCATAAGTATGCTGGCTCCTTCTGCAGCCGCATTCACTGAGCTTCCCACACGACTAAAAGGAGAATGCAGCGATGTAGAGAGAGAGAGAGAGAGAGAGAGAGATGGGAGAGAGAGCGAGAGGAGAGAGAGGAGAGAGAGAGGAAGGAGGGGGTCTCTCTCTCTCTCTCTGTGACATACACCGAAAATAAAATAAAATTAAAAAAGAAACATACTTAAGACCTTGAAACAGATTGTTGTTTTAAGCGCGCACTTTAATGGCTGCATATCTGGCTGTTTATTATCACCTTCTAATTATCCTATGTTTTTTTTTTTTTTAGGAAGCTCTCACCTGTTTTCTTTTTTTTTTCCTCCTGTGTAACCTCCACGGGGATCAAGATCAAAGCTGATGAAGAGCATTGAGGGGAGTGTGTGAGTGCGTGTGTTTTGAGGGGGGATAAAAAAAAAAAAAAACAACAAAAAAAAACCGCTTTACCTGCCAAACGGCCGAGTTGGGTTTTGACTTGCGCGACACGGTCCGAGCGCGTCCCCGAAGTCCGATTGGAGGGAGAGAGAAAGAGGGAGGGAGGGAAGGAGAGAGAGAGAAAAGGAGAGAGAGGGAGCGTGTGTGTGTGCTTAAAACCGGGCACGGGAGCGCGCCTGTGAGCGGCATTTTAAATAGGAGGGAGAGAAGAGGGAGAGAGAAGAGGAAAGGAGGAGGAGGAGGAGAGGGGGTTATTATTCAAGAGTGCTGCAGTCAGAAGGGCTGCGAGAGGGGGGGTGGAGGAGGTGGGAAATCAGTCAATCAGAGGCTTATGCGGTTCACATTTTTTCTCTGTTTTTGTGCGTTTTTGCAGGAGAGAGCGGATTACAGCGGAGTGAAGGAGAGGAGGAGGAGGAGAGATGGATGGAGCGGAGGAGAGAGGAAGAGATGCGCCTTAAGGTATGACAACACACCTCTGCTTCTAATAATATTTATTTCAAGATTTGTGAGATTCCTCCTTAAAATGACTGATGGAAATCTATCTATCTATCTATCCTGTTCATTTATTCATGCGTGATGAGTCCCGGGCTGAGTGTGGAGAGCGGCAGCGTGGCGCAGTGCCCGCGCTCTTGTGTCCATCCAGCTGACACCCATGGGAGAAAAGAGAAAAAAAAAGAAAGGGGGTGGGGAGGTGGGGCAGTCGGACCTGAAACCTGACAGTGTTTCGGGGCCTCACCGGAAGCTTCACCTCTGGTTTCCTCTTGCAACAGGTGGCGGGAGCCAAGTGACGCACACAAATAAAAGCAGGCAGGAGAAAGGGAAGATGGGAAGTATGGATTTCACCCATCCGCCCGGAGCAGGAGGGTGTGTTAGTTTAATGTTAGTGGGGATGGATGTTATCTATTGTCATAAAAGTTTCCATCAGATGGATTACCTGTGTGCAAGTGGGATTTTCCTCGACATACTGTCAACATTTCAAAATAAAATAAGTTACAAGTATTGATTTCTGTCATAATTTCTGTCATAATTTGCTGATTTATTTAGGATTTTCTAACAACAATCTTCAGTTATTTTGTGTTTTTGCTTCTAACATGCAACAACATAATATTTGGCTCTTAACTTACGTTGAAAACCTAATTTCTGTCTCTATACTTCCCGCTACTGCCTGGAAATGCCTTAAAATCTTGATGTAAATAACCATTTTCTACATTAAAGATGTTCATCATCAGCACTCAAAGACAGAGATGCTGCCATTTTCCCTGATATTCATCTTTTTGTGAGTCAACAATTTAAATATTTTCAAAATAATGCCTTTTTTTTGCAACCTTTACATTAAAACACTGTCTGTGTCTTGTAAAGAGCATAATTTTGTGTAATGTTTGTGTATTATTTCAGGTTTGACACTGACAGACATATTATTAAAGACAATAAGCCACTACAGAAGCGGGGGAAAAGTGTAATGTCTGAGTAGTGAATTGTAAATGTGTTTTTGCTGCCATTTTTCTCTGATAAAACGCCATTGACTCCACAAAGCCAGCTGCTAATTAGGGACCCTTCAGACTGTAAGTTATCATGTTGTGATAGAACATTCAGTCTCAATTATTTCTCCTCCAGCTGAATCCAGCAGCCGTCTGACGCAATTTATCCTCCAGTATTTATGAATAAAGTCCCAGTCACTCCGCTGATTGATTCACGCTCGTGTATGAAAACTGAGGTGTGTCTAAAAGTCACCGTGCCACCTGCATGAAAAGAGCAAATCGTGTATTCCTCCTCAAATCTCCCCAGTGCGTGTGAGTGTGTGTGAAGATTAATATGTGGGCTTGCTGCAACAGTGTGTGTGTGTGTGTGTGTGAGAGTGTGCTGATATTTGACAGTCTTGGACATGTTCCTACACTGGCTGTGAGTGGCCTGAGGGAAGCAGGCCTACTAGGGAACGAGCCAGACAGTTGGCAAAGGCTCCTGCTTCCGTCTCAGCTGTCGTTGGTAGTCTGGCCATGTGGCTGAGACACTGCTTCCTGTGTCCAAACACTGGAAAAAACCTTGAATCTCATGAGCTCTAATCCTATTTTGTTGGATTAAAATAAAGCATTTTAATATGTGTTTAAAGTCATTCGTGTGTCGCACCCCTCGTTTTTTTTTTCCTCTCTTGTTTTTTTTTGTCCCTTCACAGCTTGACTGCTGAATGCTGGGAAGGTTTCCTTGTGCTGAGAATTTTAGTGTTTGATGTGTCGCCCTCATCTGGACAGAAAACTAACTGCACCGAATTTCATAAGAGAGGCAGGTAATGCTGCTCAGGTGAGGCCTTCTCCCTGCGTTTCCTCATTGGAACACATTGATCGGCGGCTTTGGCCTGGTTACATCACAGACACCTGTTGTCCTGATGCATGTGTCTTAAAGCAGCAGCTCTGATGCAAAATTAATATTAACAAAAAGCCAATTTATTTCTCTTTTACAGGAAAAAATGATACTGAACTGTTATATTTTTGTTTTTCTTTTCTTTTTTTAAATTCCTCACACACAATTTAGATGGATAAAATGTTAAATGCTCCTTTTCCTGTGATCAGTAATAATAATCAGTCTTTTTAAATATGATTAACTCCCTAACTCAACCCTCCAGTTGTGTTAGGTTCAACTTTGACCCCTTTATTTTAACTGTGATGTGTGAAACATAGCTTTATGTTTTTTTCTGATCAAAACAAGACATCATTACATCCTCAACAATAAATGCAATAAAATACATTTTGATCATTCTCCAGGTGCATCTGTGGTGTTATGGGTCAGAAATGTCTGTTCCATTCATCATAAACAATACAATAGATCAGTGACGCCTATTTTAAACTAAAAACAATTTGTACACTGCGAGTTAAATGAGGTCTAAGAAACACAATATATCAAAGTATATATTATGGTTATGGATGAATTACTTATCACATAAAATATTCACTGGATGATAATAAGTATTTTTTTCAGTGCTTGTTAATGAAATCAAACACGGGTTCAAGTTTGAGATGTAAACTCTTTTCTAACACATTAAGAGCGTTAAGTCGGAAGGGTCAAAGGTTAAATTCCTATACATTAATGAAGTATGTATAATACATTCATACAGTGTAATGGAAAAATGAGGGGCACACTTGGTGTAAGCAATTCCCGACAGTCTGCTGTAAATTTAGTCTCAGTACAAGACAGGACCCACGAGCACGCAGTGAAAACAGGCCTGCAGTCTGTCACCGTGAGACCTGCTCTGCAGTTTATGAACGTCTAATGTAAGCAGTAAAAATGGACTCATCATGATGCAGTCACCAAGTTTTTACTGCCCGGGGCTGTAAATATAACACTGGTGGCACTGGTGTAACTCTTGCGAAGCTTTCCCCAGTTTGGAAACAGAGGTGAGGATGTGACTTCTAGCTCACACTCAGAACTCAGATCTGTCACTTGGGTCAAAAGGAGAAATACCACAACACAACACAGAGGAGAAATACTCTGTTACAAGTAA